CTGGTATGCTGTGCAGTCACTGACTCACACTGGGAAGTCTGCTGAGGAACCTGCTTCTGCCTTTACTACCACTACTGCTGCTTGTTACCACTCCTGTTCCTTTTCCTGCTGAATATCCCAAGTCACCCCGCCTTTGTACATCAGTAATACCCCCCAGTCTTCCAGAGGCTCATCACTTGCGCAGAAAATCTTAACCACGGCACACTGGCTCACCTTCAAGAACTGTAACAAATAAGGTAAGATGTGTAACCTGGTACCCTGCAGACTGGATGCTCAGAGGCTATTATTCCCACTGGTGTTTCTTGTCCCTACTAAGCCTATAAACACATAAAAGTTCAAGTACATAAAAATTCTTAGAATGCAATATGCAGTCATATGGATAGGAAGCCACTGATACAGTAAATTATCATCAACTAGAAAATATCATTAAAAAACCCCAGTATTTCACCTGTAAACCCTTTTGATCAGAAACAATATCAAGAAATTTGGATCACCATCTCAATATCAAGGCATTTCCTACAGAACTGGAAAACAAAGCCCATGGTAACATTAGAGGGCTGACAAAAAGGTTGCAAATGTCATGCAAAATAAGCACAACCTATTACAAATTCAGAGCAACAGTTACACACTAATTCTGCACAAGTGTGAAAAACAGGACAGTACACAGAGACTCAAGGTGAAGGAGACAAATAATAAAAACCAGTAGATATTTATGGTTGCTCTTATAACCACATCTGTTGAGATATAGGTGGACTGAAGAAGTCAAGACATAGAAATACTTGCAAACACTTTTTGTAACTAAGGGTGCAAAACCACTTCATAGACAGGATTCTGCAGGAAAAAAACATAACCAATTCAGAACAAAAGTAATTACTGATATTATATATATGTGTATATATCTATTTCACTTGAATTAGCAAAACACTTCTCAGAATATACTTTTTTCTAAATTAAACCTTTAACCGGTAGTACTGTTTTTATTCAAACCTCTTTTCTTATACATTTCTGACTGTAAATTCTTTTAACATTGCCAAGTTTCATATATTTTAACTTACAGGATGCAATGCTACATGCTTGCCCCTAAGCTGAATTTTTGGAGAAGTTTGGTGCTTCGATGAAGTAAATTGACTTATTTTATGCTTTGATGAGAAGGTACAATTGTCTGATGTTTTTGAAAGAAGTAGGAAGACTGGGCTTCGGTGGTTTTTTGTTTGGTGGTGGTGTTTTTTCCCCACGTCAAGACAAAAACATCAAAATGGGGGAAAAAATAGCTAGCACGTGCTTACAGAATCTTGTTAGGATCTGGCACCTACGTTTCTGAAGATACCATCTGTGCCATACATGCTACCACCCCCTTCAAGATATTACTCACAGCCAGGTTTGAGACTGAGCCAGCCTCTCAAGCCAGTCAGGCACACTCCAGCAGGAAGAGGCAAACAGGACAGTAGGAAGTACAGGAACTAAGTATGGAGAGACAGACTCAGTATGTCCTGTCTCTATTCTAGTGAACTACTAGTGAATTTATATACCCGGGGAGAGGGAAGCCATTTGTCCCAAGAGGCATCAGGGTAAGAGTAGGACCCTAAAAGAGGATACCAGCAACTAAGTGTCTATCAAGAGAAAGCAGGTAGTACAAAATGGTGAAATAGCACAGCACTGGATGAGAAAGCAATGAAGGATTCACAGGCCAAAAGGCCTGGGACAAAGAGCTGGGGGAGAAAACTGAACCAGGTTTTGGAGGTTTGGGCTAGCATGTGAAGCCAAGTTGAGGCAGGTTAGGGCAAGAAAGGTGACTTTGAAAAACAAGAGGTGACAGGTGTAGGAATCTCAAAGGGATCTGCAGCTAAGCCTGATGTTAAAACTGAAGTACATGTTTTCAAGTCTCTTGATTCTTCAGTCCTGAACAAACAAACCAAGAGCACTTCCCTGCTACTTCTATTGGCACACACAGATGACGGCACCACAATACTGCTTTCAGCTCCTCTCCTGGCTAAAAGGACAAAGGATTATGCAGTCTATGTAACCTGTTCATACATGCTAATGAACCATGAAGGGTTTGGGCACAGCTTACAATTTCTGCGTCCGGTTTTTAGTTTTTTAAAACCCTAGGCAAATACATTAAAAATTTACTAAAAAGACTTAAGCTGGTTGCCTGCAAACACACTGAATTACTGACAGCCTGTGGAACGTACACTTAAGGAGGCCAAACTAAGTTCAGGAAAAGAGCCTATCAGAACTCAATTGCTGTAACTCTGAGACTTATCCTTCTTGTCTCTGCAATCACTCATCCCACTTGACATAACCCTTCCAGCCTCTCCAACAGCCAAGGGTATGGTCCTACAGACAGTGCCCTTATTCAGTTCTAGAAACACGTCTACCCTATGAAATGAAGTCAATAGCCTCTTGAGAGAAGAAACCAATCGTATAGATAAAGACTATATTAGAATGCATATGAATAAAGGAAGAAAACTCAGGTCACAAAGACAATCTTACTCTTGCATTTCCTCTACTGACTACTGGATTTTAACCTTTCCATACTTTTTAAGTACATAATCTCACACAAGGGTATCCCAGTGAGCAATGTTGTCATCAACAAGAATTAACGAGAGAAATCCAGCATTTGATGTTTAGCCTATCGGTGTAACGCAGCTGTACTTCTGTATCTGGCAAACCACAGGTAGCTTCTAATTGAATGTTCTCCTGCGTGTTCAAAACCTTTAACACTTTAGCCCAACACAAAGTCTCTTCTAACCACAGGATATTTGAGATCTAGACACAGTATGTCTCTCTAAATTTCCTTTTCAATACACCAGGGATGTGTAAAAGTGTCAAGATAGATCTCCTGTGTGGGGGAAAAAACATTCCTTCTATAAAGAAACACAGCAGAACAAGCCATTCTAACTAATTGTGGCTATTTTGGATTTCAAACACTGCACACTGGTTTTAGGGGATGGTTTCTGAGTGGCCTGAAAAGGGAATGTGGCAATAGCTTATGACAAGAAACTGCTGTTAACAGGCAAGTGTAAGGCTGCTGTGCACAAAAATTAACTCCTGGAACTTTGTTAATTACCATATTTGGATATGCTGATTTATTTCCTCTTGACAATGAGGGCATTGGGATGTATTTTTCTGTGCTGCAGGCAGCACCCTTAATGATCTAGGAATACCATTACCTGGCTATCCCTGCCTATTCTACAGATCACAGTGTACAAAGACTATAAAGAAGCTCTTCTTTTTACTCAATCTTCATACTGCATATGGACATCAAAGTCTTGTAAGTTTAACTATAGCCCAAACATGGACTGGTTCAGAGTTGTATTTTTACCCTCATTGCAACGGCTAAAATACTTTAGTTTCTGATCTTCACATACCATCTGAAATGCCTTATTTAATTACACTGCTATTATACCAGATCAGTGCTAGAGACAAGAAAGGCTATATTCTTCCTACATTAACAAAAAAAAAAAAAAGTTACTGTATTGCACAGAGTATATAATAGAACCACTAATCATTTCAGATTACTGCCAACTCACTACAGCAGGATGAATCCTAAAATTGGCTCACAGCCTCCTGGCATAGGTATTTTGAACTGTGAAGTTAACCAACACAACCTCACTTGGCTGTCAAATTATAAACCCACCAAGAACAAACATTTCTTCTTCTAGCAGTTTCAGCCTTCACATTTTCAGCACCAAGGTATGGCAAAGATTTCCCTGGTAGCTCTACATCAACAAGAGACAAGTAAGTTTTTTAAACCAAAAACAGAACAGAAAGAAGTTTTTCTACACAGAAAACATCACTCAAGTACTTAGTCCTTCCTCCTTCATACTACCTTAGTTAAAAGTCCACCAGAGGAAAACACTTTAGATTGAAAAATATAAATACAATGGGAGAAAAATAAATGTGTTTCAATATTAGGCACAAAGATCAGAATAGCTGAGTTATGACTTCTCTACACCCAATATCCACAGCTTGCTGACTATCCTTACAGGAATGCTGATGGAAAAGTTCACATTTGGTTTGGAATCAGATGCATGCAAATACAAAAAAAAAAAAGGGTACATCCAAACTTTTGACTGCTGAGTGAAAAATGCAAGAACAACAGGCAAACCTTCCATAAGCATCTGTACTTAAAGCTGCCTACTGCTTTTAATTACATTTCCAGCATTCCCCACAGCTCTACCACTGCTTCTTCTCTCCCCTGTTCTTTTATCACTATGTCCCATTGCCTTGTGCTTGAGGTCCCTTCCAGCTATCCCAGCTTTAGTATATATTCTTTCTGTCCCCTTTTAAACTTCATCTTCCAGGGATGATCTCCAAAGATTCTTTTCAAACCATTTTACTGTAGCTTTATCTACTTACTCCCAAAGAATCAAGGTACAGAGAAAACAGCCTCCTTTGACCTACAACATAGGCACTATCTTCCATCTCTCTAAAGGACACCTTTAGGGCAGGTCAGTCTCCCACTAACCTCAGGTTCCAGGAACACACACACCTCTCAGTACAAGTCCCATGTAGGACATGTTTCCAAGTTATACTTGACGAGAAATATGATGTGCTTATTCACCTCCACATTCCGAGAACATCTAGACAACACACTGGAATCCAAAGTATTAATTTTTTTCAGCCAATGCTAAATGCATCTTTTCCTTTTCCTGCCTAGGTACTATACTTCTTTAATTCAGAGTCCATAATCTCATTTTGGCAAGCTAACCAGATACATAAGCCTTTTTGCCAAATGATCATATATAACAAACGTCATATAACTCAACTCGTAGGTTCATAAAATTGAACAGATGAGATACAGTTAATAACATTAACCACAACTGTATCACTGATTAATTTCTGCCTCTGTAAGCA